TGTGTCATTTATTCTTAGTTTAGTCACTATGAAAAAAATGTGTACCTTATTTATTATGTTATTATAATTACAACAATAATAATAATAATTGTTATTATTATGTTGGCTATTATTATATTATTATTACCGATTTTTGTTGACAAATGCGAACTAATTCATTGATGTATTGTTTTATTATTTAGACAGAAATTGTGTGGAGTATTGTTGGATAGTATAAAGAAAGTAAATAAGTTATTTCACGTGTGTGGAGGTAATTCAAAACACACCTGTTGTGCTTTTTGTCCCTTTTTCCTTGCCGTAAGTGACGTCTTTAGTGGGAGGCGTCTTCCCGTGCCTACTTCTGAAAGTTTGCGGAAGTTTGTGTTTACATCAATAGTTGAAGAAGTCATCTTCCAAGAGGCTCAAATTACGGAAAAAAAAAGGAAACCTCGTTTTGTGTTTGAACGTCGATAGATGGACCTCAGCTCAGAGAAAATACACCGGACTCTGTCCAAGGTTAGTGACTGAGAAGAAGCTTCGGAAAGAGGTTTTAATTTGTTGAATTGGCATAAAAACCGGCCAACACAGAAGCCTCATCAAATTTATGTAAGCTGCTGTCATCCTTAACAAACCGGCTGAACCAGCTCCGTCACTTCATCAATCCTGGAGAAATGTTGACAGCGCGGAAATACGACAAAATACAAGAAATTAATTTGGGCTGCTATTTCTTTGTTGTTGTGTTTATTTTTGGAAACCAAATCCGCTGATGAGAAGTCTATCCAGATAACAAACAAAAATCACCTCGTTGCTCTATACAAAGATATCAACAAAGCACATTATTACATTGTCTAAAGGATATCATCTCATCTTCTCTTCAATACCAAATTGAAAGAAAGAAAAGTCGTGGTTCAGTAGTTGCATGTGAGCAGTGTTCAGAGCAGTTCATTGTAGGTTCATAGCAGGATATAAGTGAATAATGAATCAGTCTGGATTGATTGATGGTCTTAAATTAGATGGTAAAAAAAAAAAATGTGATGATCAAAAACGATTGCAGCTGCAAAGTAGTTGTATTGTAGGTGTGTATATATAGATTTATAATCTCAGCAGTCATAGATGAGTCTGTCTTTTTGCTCTTTAGTACAAATTCCATGACGTTGCTGTTGAGGAGCTGCAGAAAATCCATCGGATCTACCCCGGGATGAAACCCAGCACAGGCACATACAGTGAGTTTTTTATTTGTGTGTGTGTGTTGAAGATCTCTACTTGATTCAAACCTGACACGTGATCGAAAACGGACTGCTCCTGTTTTCAATTTCAGCTTTCAGCGACAGCACGCAAAAAGATCTCATTAAATTAATCGGTAACATCCCTGTCCAGTATGAAGGTAAGACTGACCTCTGACACTCCTCATTCATGTCAGCGTGAGATCGTTACGACTTACTGATGGCGGTGTCTTTATCTTAAGGCCGTTCCTACAACTTCCCTGTTCTGCTGTGGCTGCTGGACTCATTCCCCTTCACTCCCCCCATCTGCCTCCTCAGACCAACTGCAAACATGGTCATCAGAGAGGGCAAACATGTCAATGCACAAGGACGGATCTACCTGCCCGGGCTGCACAACTGGGATCATGTAAGGCTTTTATGCTTTCCACGTGAAACTAATGGATTATTATTCTGCTGTGTTTTCATCAGCGTTGCTCATTTCTTTCTTTTTTCCCTTCTCAGCCAAAATCATCCGTAGTGGGCCTTCTGAATGAGATGACTGCCAAGTTTGCGGAGGATCCTCCGCTGTCCACAAAGTCGACGGGAGAAGATAAAGACCCCCAGGACCTTCTTGCTTTTGTCTCTAATCTCCAGATCAATGATGGTAATTTACATGATATTAACTTTGCAGTTGATGATAGTTACAAAAAAAAAGACTGTATCCTCTTTTAGCTTAACTCACCTTTGTTTTAGGTGGAAGCAGGAGTCATCATCAGCTCAACAACAAAGTCTCTGTTGTTGGTGGAGGAGATTTGGGAATGGCGACAGTGATGAGCATTTTATCAAAGGTAACTTTTTTAAAAGTCTTTCCAGGGATTTTCCATGATGCTGGATAATTTACAGCCTTAAATTAAAATGCCAAACGTATGGATGGTTATTGTTTTTTTTTCTTCTTTTAATCCAGTGTAAAGTGGATAAACTTGTTTTCATCGATGTCGCTGAGAGCTCCACCAAAGGCGGCAGCACAGATCTGGAGATCTTCAGTCTGCCTAAGGTTGAAGTATCTAGAGGTACGTCACTTTCTGCTCCGTCATATAGAAATGTAGACGTTCCTCCTGCTTGAGTCATCGCTCGAGGTTGGATTGTTTGAAAGATATCAGCCTGCCATTGTGGGGAAGAAGAATTCACTGATTCCCAAACTAGCAGAGTAGGACCCTGACCAGTCAGAGGATTTAAGAAAAGTTTTCTATCAGGGGTGAAGCAAAAGTTTTTTTTTTTCTTTTTAAACAGTGCTTTATTTATTACAAGGCAGTTTACAGAACAAGAAAGGAAAAACATTACAGATATACATTAAGGAATTATTGACAGACCAATGGTGGAATGATAAAACACATTCAAATATAAAGTTAGGACAATGTTGATTGAAGTATTCAGCACAGGAATGTGTTAACAGAAAACAAATTCCATACATCAAATTAAAAAAAAAATCAGGTGAACGTAGAAATATCATAAGCAAGCAAGGCAAGAGACAAAGAGACATTAAAAGAGCAAGAATTTAGATATATCTGAATAAGGTTTTTTGGCCTTTCTATTCTTTTTGGGTGAAGCAAAAGTTAACAAGGTGAAACTCTAGAACCAGCATGGCTTTACGTTCTCTTGCTCTTCTTTTTTTCTTTTTTTTTTAGACTTTTCAGCCTCTGCAGGCTCCAGGGTTGTCGTGGTGACCGCAAATGCATGGAGCAGCGAGCAGTCGTATGTAAGCGTGGTTCAGACTAATGTGGACTTGTACAGAGGATTCATCCCAAATCTCGCACGTCTCAGCCCGAACGCAGTCATGATTATCGCTTCACAACCAGGTTTGTGTTAGAGGAAAAAGAAACTCTGTCCACTCTGCTCAAAAACTCTCATAATATTTCATCGACTTTCCTCCTTTCCTTGTCCATATCTAGTTGACCTCATGTCCCAAGTTGCCTGGAGGCAGAGTGGCTTGCCTCCGACACATGTGATCGGAGCCGGTTGTAACCTTGACTCGGAGCGACTCAGTCACGTTCTGGACATAAACCTGAACACTCACAGACCAGCCTGGGTCATAGGAGAGCTGTCAGACGACAAAGGTGAGCCAGAAAGCATCCGTTAAATATTTACATGAAGCTTTGTGTTGCTAATTCTTCCTGTAAATGTCCTCCACATGCTATTATAACCTCTGCCAGCTATTTGTTGTTGTGGTAGTTGTTGTAGCCCTGCACAACCTGCTGTTGTCATACATTCTTTCCATTCACCAGCCGTCTTAAGGCCTTTTGTAAATGACGCACATGAATGAGCTCGTCACTGTTTTTGTCTTTTAGTTCCCGTGATGAGTAACACACAGCTCAGCTCCTCTGTGCAACCAGAGATCGCTACGGGATCCGCCTCTACCAAGCCACTGCTAGACAGGTCAGAGTCGTGTAATTGCTTTAGAGAAATAAGAATTAGTAGAAGAAGAAAATGGAAATATTTACAGGATGCAGATTCTGTCAATGAAGTTGAAGGAATTAAACAGGATAGAAAATGTTACAATACAAGTGTTGATCACACTTGACTTTTCTAGAGGCTTGAATAGCATCAAGAAGGTAACTTTTTATTTTGCTTGTAGAGCTTTTGAGATGATAAAGAGCAGAGGTCAGAGGTCGTGGTCTGTGGGTTTGTCCATCGCTGACATCACAAACAGTGTCCTGTTGGATAAGAAGAAGACGCACTCTGTCTCCACGCTGGCTCAGGTAGAACGACTGCGTAACACGTAACATAACGTTTGCATCATTCTTCTCCTCGTTCTTACTCTATCTGGTGTCAACTCTCTTAACTTTGTTTTGCCTCAGGGCTGGTGTGGCATCGGTTCAGAGGTATTCCTCAGCCTGCCGTGCATCATGGGAGCCAAAGGTTCCACACGCCTGGCTGGAGTGTTCCTCGGACCGGAGGAAGACGCCAAACTGAGGGACAGCGTCTCTTCCCTATCTAACCTCATGAGTCAGCTTAGGATATGAAGTACACCATTTTTCTCAACATTTTGGGCTCTAACTGGACTGCTCACTGGCAGCAGGGCAGTTCTCCACTCAACACACCCCCAGCATAATGGACCTTTCCCGTGCTGAGGTACTGGCAGTTTCAGTTGGTTACTTACACCCTTTGTTTTAAAACTTGAAACACATTGCTCTCTAAAATATGTTGAATTTAATCAGGATTGTTTCTATGCTTTCTTGGCAACAATGATGAACATAACATAGAAATATTTAGCATTTGGTTATTTAGATGTTTCAGGACTGCGAAGGTACTCACTCATTCACTCACATTTTCAATTTTAAAACTATAAACGCACTTTCATGTAATATTCTTGAAGTCCGGAAATTCTACACTAATGCAGCTTTAAGAAAAGTCATCCTTTATATTTGTCAACGACAGCTCATTTTATGTGAATTTCACCAAAGATGGATGTGGCTCTATTTGTTATTTTTAAACTAACCCTTGCCTTACAAAATCAGGATGTTTGTACATTAAGTATAGTTCTTGTTCATAATATGCCGCACAGGGTCTGGTGTCAGTTCCCTAGATGAAGTACAACTTGTATATGTTGCCGTCTTAGTGATGTCTTTATTTAAAGAAAATATGAAAAAGCTTTTTAACCACCATTCTATTTAAATCATCTATGTTTACTTTGAGTGAAATGCTTTGCACTGCTTTTCCCCAAGATATGTACAGGGAGACTACATGGTTTGTGGGTTTGCAATAAACGTCTGAAACAATATGTGGGTTGTCTCTGTAGGAAAGAAAAGACAACAGACAGCAAAGGTTCAACTCTTTATAAAACTCCCAACAAGCGGTTACAGTAACGTACATCAGCTTTGGCCTGAGCTCCAGCATCATAGATGTTCAGTTGGTCCAGAAAAAGGAGCAGTGATGACGCACAAACGGTGGTCAGGTCACATGACTTACAAAAAGATTCTCCAGCTAGCTGAACATACTTTTGTGCGGTCCAAGATTCTAGCTCTTGGGATAGAAATCACAGCAGCGACCAAAGTTTATGAACACACATTGACACATGACGTTGTAACCTGGAACTCCATTAGAAAACAGCTGAATACTTAAAGAGTTTAATACCGTTTGGCAATGACAAAGTTCAATGTAAAAATAAACAAAACATAACTGTTGCTTAAACATGGCATATAATATAACTGTATGAAACAACAATATAACCCTTTATTAGGTCCTTTAACAGTATATTATGGCTCAACTTCCATTTCTTAATAACTTTTGCTCTGACACCACTGTCACCACATGGCTCTAAAACACTGCTGAATGAACTTAACTTTGACTTATTTGCAACTCTCCCCGATTTGTGCATGGATAAAACAGTGTAATATGTATTCTAAACTCAAGCTCACTGTGCCCTGTGTTGTGTATTGAATATAAATTATGGTTTGCACATTCATAAATAGAAATTTTCTGCTCGAGCATCTTCAAAGTCCTCCTCATGTCTGGACATTTTAGAGCTTAAAGCCTTTACCGTCCAGCTGTAAAACCTCTGACCACTAGGTGGGGCTACATACCATCAATATTGCAACAAGGATTTTTACTGTAACTCGCTCTGAGGTGATAGTATGTTGCATTCCTCTCGTTAAGTCGTATACTTCAACTTTATTAAGTCTTGATGCATGCATGTATATACATGAAAAGAACATTATTGCTGTGAAGTGTCTGACAAACAGATATAACCCATTTGTTTAAATGACAGCATCCCAAACGCTCAGTTTAAAACACAACAAAGCAGGTGAATAGCCACAGAGTACCCACTGCTACCTGGGTGGGAAAAAAAACCTGAGCAGGCTTCATATGAAACTATCCTCAGTATTTACACCAGTGACAAGCTGCACCATGTATTTCCCTATCGCTGGTTGTTACGAACTTGCATGCAAACTGCAGTGGTGCAGCCTGGTTAAGTGGTCCATTGTAATCAAGTATTGACATGAAGAAACAGTAAAGAAGCCGTGTTATAGTAACAGCTGCTATTAAGTTGTGAGCCAGCTCACAGTTTGCAGTATAAATAAGGACTTTGGGTGCGTTAATAAAGATGACTGTAACTCTGCAGCCTCAAAGCCCTTTTGTTAAGAGTTGCTATACTCGGTGCACTGCGGTCAGGTTAAGACACTTTCCTTTTTTTAACAAACAGGAGATGAAGTAATGGTGAGAAATACAGCTGAAATTAGATCAACTATTTCTATGTAGATTCTCTCATTCTCTCATCAAACTAATTGAAAGCCAAATATTTTCACGGTCACTTTTTTTGTGTGTGCAGCCAACAGTAACACAGTTTTAAATACAAGTTGGACATTTAGAAAAATTAACTGCCCTTGTTTCAAAGGTTCATGTCACAGATATCTGTACATACTGTATCAGTGAAAAAAAGGACTTCCACACAACACACCGACACGCGCACAAACCTTCGACACACTGAATAGATACTGGCCTTTCATCTCTCCCATGGCTTCTGAATCATGTTAGCAAAATCAGTAACACTTCAATAAAATGTGGAAATTTCAAAAGGTCACTGATTTTGGCAGTTGCTGTCCCCCAGGAGACATCCTGCAAAAGTCTGGACTGGATCTGACCAGGGGCACCCCCACTGCTGACTGTCCTGAGGGTCTGGAGAGGCCGGGGGGAGACCCGGTGTACAACAGTGGTGCTGGGAAAGCAGAATGGTCCCTGGGGCCCCTGGAGAAATGCTTAGAGTAACCAGGCGAGGCGGCTCTGTGTGTGTCTGTACAGCTGACAGCATTACACTGAAAGGGAGTGAGTCTGTCAGAAAAACCAGGCGGCGGAGGGGGGATGATGGAGTCCTCCACCCAGCTGTCGTTTCCTTCATATTCTGGCTCCTGAGGCAAACTTGGTAGAGCGCACAGCGAGGGAGGAAGAGAAGAAGGCGAGGGAGGAATGAACATGGGTGGCGGTGGCAGAGGGTACCGAGCAGGGTCATAGTCTTTGTCGATGTTATGTGGGGGCTCGCAATGCATGCTGGGCATTTCCTCAGGCGTGGACCCTAGCATTCTCTCAAAGTAGCGGTCGTCATCGCCTGCCTCAGAGAGGTTGTCATACTGCGAGGTGTTCGAGGGCCGCCGATCTCCTGCAGACACCGGGACGCAGAGAGACACGGGGAACTTGGTTGGCTTTGGGGGAGGAATTCTGGGAGATGAGGAGGATGTCGTGAAGGCACGGGGAGGGGAAGGCTTAAAAGGAGGTGGTTTTTTCTGTGTTAGGTCCAGAGACGTGGGCGGTTTCAGGCATGGTTTTGGAGGTGGCTTCATTTTAGGGACGTGAGGTAAGGACGAGAGGGTGGATGGAGAGTGGTGCTGGGTCTCTGGGACACTTGGGTCAACCTCCTCAGGGTATAAGAAAGGAGGTGGGGGCAAATCTGGAAGGTCCATGATCTCCTCTTCAGACTGCATGTCGAGAGCTGCCATATCAGGGGTTCATAGGGGGGAGGCCAATCCACAGACCTGTCCAGGGTGTCTGGTTCTTCAGGCTGTCTTTCCTGTTTACCCCCATCTTCTGCCTGGCTAATCTTCGGAAGAGATTCTTTTACATCTCTGTTCAACCCAACCTGAGCACAGGGTTTGTCCACCTTTGGAGGTAATGGAGGAGCTCTACAAGGTCTTTGAGGAGTAGGCGTATCATGAGTGTGGACTACAACTTCTTCAGGGGAAGGCAAAGGAAGTGTTGCAGAGTTCTGTGGTTTGGGAGGAGAAGGCGTCTGGTTAAGGGCAGTGCTGTCTCTTTGCTGCATCTCTGTATTGGGTTGGCTGTCAGCCTGCAGATTGATTTTGACCTCCAGAGGAGAATCAGGTTGTACAGGCTGAAGGACAACTGCTCTCTCTTGACCCAGAGGTTTCTTTGGCAGCTCCTCTGATTTGGCTTCAAGGGGGTTAAAAAACAGGGAGTATGTCAACAGAGAGAACAATTTCTTGTGTGTATTTCCTTGTAAGGTGAACTTTGTATAGATGTATCATACTAAGTGAATGAGGCTTTACACTGAAAAAAGGAAAAAGAAGGATAAAGGGTAGAACTGCACCTGGTGGAGGTTGGTCCAGCTTTTTACTTCGTAGTTCAGACATAGAAGCCTGTAACTGTTCAACCACCACGTCATCAGGCAGGAAGAAAGAAACAGCCAGCTGCTCCTGAAGAAACTCCCTCAGGTCCTCTAACTGGAGCCTCTGCAAGCGCTCTGATTGGACAACAAACCAGACACAAAACAGAGGCAAATTAGCTCACAGAATGGGTAATGCAAACCTCCTGAACTTACATGTTGTGAAACCTCTGTAATACTGTGATGCATGCTTGACAATGACAGTAGTGTAACATATGTCTAATTTCAAGATACCAACAGAGAAGCAACCCGTCACAAAGAGTTGCTTTGAAGGAATTCAACAATGTTGAGCGAGCAAGCAAGCATCCAATAGAAATACAGCTTTCGATTCTTCTCCACAGCAACCGGCCACTTGCATTATGTAAGCCATGCAGTTAGGAGTCAGCCAAGCGAGAGGCGGCGTGCGATGTTTCCACACAGTTACACTAGTTGGTAAAGCACCAGCAGTCATTGCTGTATCTGGGCATACTGATGCTTGTTTTACTTATTTTATCACATAAAGGCACAGAAGACAATGTTAATCAGCGTCATACTCACTTTTGTGTAACTTGAATATTGTATAAGCCATGGCATTTAGCATCTTCTCTCCCTCCATTATGTAGATATCCCATAAACGCAGGGTGAGGGTAAAAGGGGTCTGTTACGTAAGACACATAGAAGCATTAAAAACAATTAAACAACATGCGATGTGGCACAATATTCTAAAGTCAAGAGCAAGGGACTGTGATTGTTATTGTTGTGATTGTGAGTGTTACACCTGGGACAAGATGTAAACAAAAAAGATGTGCCTATGGATCATTTTGTGCAGATATCCAAACACTCACTCTGTCAATGAAGCACTGCAGAAACCATTTGGTGGTGTAAATCCCTGTTGTCATCTGCTCCTTGTCCTGAGGGGTAAGAATGGATAGATCTTGATCATATTCTGAACTATAAATCTCCTAGTCAATGAGGCTCTATGACTCTGTGATATGCAGTAACATCCTGAACATGTGGTTTTGTTTTTTTTGCAACATTAATTACAAATAATAATTGATGGTCTAAATGGATCTCATGATCATGTCTGCAATCACTTACCTCCATCATGTTTCCACGATGGACAAGAAAGCAATCAGGCATACAGTTGAGTTTAAACTCACCATGTGTTTCTTCAGCTTTGGCAGCATTTTGGAGAGGATGCGCTCGTGTTGGGCCTGGAAACGATGCAACTTCGGAAATCCTGGGATGAAGAACCCTAGAAAATATTTTAAAAAGCATACAATAAACGATTTGCAATGCTAGTAGAGACATAGATTTGAAATGAAGGGCAATTGTCCTCTTAAAATATTTGATAAAAAGCACTGAGAGAAGATGAGAAGATCTATTAACTGTGGTACCAAATTCTATACACCTTTAATTTGGGGCAAATATTCTGGCAAAGTTATAAAAAAATTGTTTGGAAAGTTTCAAACTGGTTTGAATTAAAAAAAAAAAAGAAAAAAAAAAAAAGAGTAGCCCTGTGTTCTCTGTGTATGTGCGTAATATTTGTATACTAAAAACAGTTGTATGTGATAGGTCTGAACATTAATAAGCTCTGTTTTTATTGAATCTTTCTGTCCATCTCTCTTCCTTCTCACCGTGCATGGCATGCTTGCTGTTGGTCAGGAGCTGGGACAGAGCCCAGAAGGCCTCTTCCTCATTCAGGTACATGAGCAGGATAGCAGCGATCTGACTCATCCCCTGGCAGTAGCTCACCTCCTGGGGGGACCACCGCAGAAGAGACAGGTTCAATTAAACAGAATGGGCAAATGAGAGGAAATATTCATTATTTAATAGAGCACATACACGCACACAGGCTGGGAAGTGAAGTGAGGAGAGCACCTGAATGTCTGATGTGGTCTGAAGGCAGACTGTGCAGCTCCTCATGAGCAGTAAAACCACACACATCCAGACCTACAGTACATGCAGCTACAGTATTATAAACACTTTGACCAAAAAACGTTCAAATATTTACTGCAGTTTAAAATTCATTCACAGGCTTGTCCTGTCTTCAACTTGTACAGCTGCCAATTTGACTCCACCATGATTCAATGATTTACACTAAACACATCGCCCTTGGCAAGCACAGATACACTAAACCGGACACACACTTGATATTGTCCATATTAAGGCAGATTTATTGCCCCGTTACAAATGGATACTCATAAGTATCCTTTAAAGGAAATACAGTAAACATTACCAGGGCAACACTGAGGTTAAACTACACATTCTCCACATTCTTCTCTGCCATAACATAGGCAAAAGGACAAACAACCCCCCATCCCCCCCCCCTCCCTGTTTCTCTCACAGTCTCATCTACTGACCCACTTTCTTCAGAGCTGTGTGTGAGGAGAGGGGAAAAGGGAAAAAGGGAACAGCACATGCCCATTTCCTCTGGCTCTGGCACCTCTAACACGCAGAAATGACTACTGAGCTTAATCAGAAAAAAAAACAGACTTGGACTGAGTTTGTGTGTGGGGAGATGTAATGCGCTGTACATGAGACCAGATTTGGATCCAAACATTTTTTAAACCCTATCAGACAGCAGCCAACTGGGCCTTTACAAGAATTAATCAATACAGATTTATATCCAGGTCAAGATTCAAACTACATACAATGCACTCACTGTATACCAATGACTGTGTGTTGACATACAATCGTTGCTTGTTGTAAAAGCAGGATTTTACTTGAAGGAAAGAAACTTTGCTTAAGCAGGAGAAGGTAAAGAGGGGGTGATAAGCACTGAAGAGTAGATGCAAGGAATCATCAGTATATATTACATCAGCATTCAGTAATGCACTTTGAAAACGTAACCAAAGACAACCCCAAAACATTTACAATAAAAAGGATGAACTTTTCTGGTTTGGGCTTTCATGAAAAGTGTTTCCAGCAGTGTATCTTGAACCAAGACGATTTTGTTCTCTTTTAACAAACATGATGCATCAAGAGTAAACTTGGTCTAACTATTTGAGAGCCGAGTATGGATGTAGCTTTACTGGTGTTTGGATTGTGATAGTGTTGCTGTACATTCAGGCAGAACCAAACTCTCAAATAAAAGGCTCTAAACAAGGCTGTCAACAGATGGGTCTAAAGCACTTGACTGACTTTCAGCTGTTGCGCCACTAAAGTGCAGTTTTTTTTTTGTAATGACTCCTCCATATTATATGAACACACCTTTTGATAACACAAAAAACAAACTTACCGTGTTGTACACAGAGTAGGATGCTAAGACGTGAAACAGCGCCTGTTGCCTGGAAAAGGAAAAAAAGAAACCACCAGTTACAACAGAGATGTGGTTCCTTAGCAACAATCAAGCAAGCTGGGACAGTGTGTCAGGCTATGAGTAATGATTTCTAAATGATCTCATTCTTAAATTCCCTTCATCAATCTCCACCAATGAACTCAAAACAGCTGCAAACATTTCTGGAGAGGCTGAAAAATTATCACTTCTACCTACCATCTGGATTTTTAACAAATCTTTATTCGTATGTTTAGTACAGTCCCTCTTCTTCTAGCTTAGCTTGTAAGTTTACACAAAGGGAGTGTGTGTGTGAAAGGACTTCTGTGATCTATTAGTGCTTGAGTGACACCGAGTATGCAGCTTCTTTGACCACAGGGTTGTGTGCTACACGGCTGACTAGAGTCTCAACTGTTTCAGTTAATGAACACAAGGGATGTTTTGTGTGTGTTTGAGAGTGCATGTGTTACTGTAGCAGGACATTATGTAACAAACATAATGTAGACAGGAGAGGATGTCTCCCCTCCAGGCCTCCATAGTAAATATGTGTCTCATACAGTGACAGAGGCAGGAAAGGAGCTTTAAATAGCTGTCAGTGTGTCGGTGTCAGTGAGACAGCTGCTGACTTGCAGGGAAGGAGTGGGCTGCCAAGCAGGATGGAGTGGTGTTTTGGTGTGTTTGGACTGAGTGGCTTTGAATCGAAGAGGAAGTACGTTACAAAGAGTGAGAGAAGAGCACTCACAGCTAAACTGACAAGTACAAACCTTTGGTTTTCACAGTGTCAGATTCACAGTTGTTCTTAAACTAACTGGAGGTATATTTAATTCATTTTCTAATGTCATATATATAAGAGTAAAAGACCAACATTGGTGGCAGTGATATTTTGTACATGTGCACTCATGTGGTTGCACATTTGTGTATGAATGCCATTTCCTGTGGGGCTTCGAGCACTGACAGGAAGGCTAATAAAACACAGAGAGGAGAGGAGGAAACCACCGCTTTAGTCTTGTGTGTGTGTGTTTGTGTGTGTGTGTGTGTGTGTGTGTGTATGAGTGTGGGGCTGCCTCAAGGTTTAAGCTGGAGGTCACACCCTTTAGTGAGGGCAAAACTTAACATGAGAGGTGACAAAGAAAACGAAAACATGAATTTAGGAGACATCCATAGCACATGCAGTGATAGAAATGTTGTTGTGGAAGCTTACAAATCTGTGTCACTTATTTTACAGGCTAAAGGTCGGGAGTGATTAGTAACATCAAAGGGTTGTTGCTAGGATAATTACTATAGTGACGTCCTTAAAGGCTTAATATGCAATTTTTTTGATCCAGCAGATGTCACTCTTGAGCACCAAAACAACTCGCGTTGCACTGTTGTGTTAGCATGCTAATGCTAGCGATCTTTATTATGCTCTTATCTTCACACTGCATGTAAATTTACCTGAAATGAGCGTGATCTAGAAACACTTACGTGACATTCAATTAAGCAGTGAGTACAGTATGTAATTCTTCTTTTCTCTAGTCTACTCAATTAAACAACTTTTATACTCGAGGGGAGGAGCCGGCCGGTCGTCTCGGCGATGTAAACAAAGTGAAGCTATGGCTAGGAAAGCTCGGAAAACATCACAGACAGTGGGACTCAGGTGTTACACCCACTGTAGACAGTCATGACTCACAGAGTATTTTCAGAGGATATACTTGATTTCTATTACATTTAAGTGTGAAAAATCGCATATTAAGCCTTTAACCAGAATCATTTATGTTTGTATATACGCCCACTCACTTGACTCCAAAGCGGTCCATGAACATGATGTGGTTCCTGAAGGTTCTGTTGACATCCAGGTCAATCTGTTTGATCTCAGTGGAGAAGGTTCGAGCCTGCTGCTTCATTTTCTGGAGGATAAGAAAGGGGGGATGTGTCATAAGATCAGTCAGTGAGAATTTACCCTTTCACGGGATCATCACTTTAGAGGAGTGGTCATTAAATGTAAAGATTCATACCTCATATTTTCCTTCATTTTCTTTTTTGACTTTCTCTATGTCCAAGAGCAAGGCCCAGGCCTGGCCTCTAAGTTGCAGAGGGATACCTTTATACACACGCTTCACCAACTGAAACACATGTGAACAAACATAAATAAAGACACTCTTAACAGAATGAGACAGTCTTCACCACAACAACTAAGAGGGAGAGGGTCATTTATGCCTCTTTATGGTCTGTAGCTGAATGACAAGGACTCCTCACATGGGCTTAAGAACTTGATTCAACTGTCTAGACCAGAGAGGAGGGGGAGAAAAGGGAGTAAGCTGTGGTTAAAAAGGGAATGGAAAACAGAAACGGAAGCAATACATAATGTCGTTTAGTAAAATATGGGTGAAGGTAAGGCTAAATTGAGACAGTGATTTGATGTTTTGAGTGCCATCAGGACATTTTTACACACCTTCTCACTGTTCTTGTACTTGTCCCAGTTCTTTACCATCTTAAGCCATTTCTCAACTCGCTCCACCTCCAGCAGCTTTTGCTAAGGTGAGGAAAAAATATATTTCAAAATACATAAATGTACACTGTCTGTGGTAAAAGGAGTAAAAGAAATCCAGTCAAGGTCATTATTTGGATTTGCTACATGGGTTAAAATTGGATACCTTCTCTTCAAGCGCACTGGGTGTTGGCAGCTCTTTCTCACTGGAGGAGCAATGAAGACAAAAGTATTAGATAAAGGGAAAGTGATGTAATGATCTATATTTAGCACTGAAACAAGACACCATCACACGGTGAGAGAGAGAAACAGAGAGAGAGGAAGTAGTGAAGAAATAGTCCACAAATATGTTCAGGTGTATTCCTAGAATTCAATCCACTACAGGGAGGTCAGAGCTTAAGGCGGGTAACTTACTGCAGGAAGCCGAAGCGGTCAGTAACCTTATAGATGCTGTAGTCAGCATCCTCCCATGGGTCGATGTTGACACCCTCGTGCCTGCCCTGAAACACCAACAAAGGAGTTTGATCTTCAGCAAACAGACCAACATTTCCAATGTAACCCTCCTCCTCTCCTTCACGTGCAGTACTCTTGTTTTATTACTCCTAATGGGTCCCTTTGAAAGTGACTCAATCTTAATTTGTGAACTAAACAACAACGTTCAGTCCCCCTGTAATGAATTGATTATTACTAGTAAACCCATTGTCACTGCCTGCAGGGAGTGAATCTGTTCTGAGCTCCCACACTGCAGGCAACACTCAGGGCCTCTCTATATGAGAAAGACCATCAACTTGACACCTTAACTTCCCTTTACTTTACTGAACTCTGGTTCGCTGTCTGTGGCAGTGGTTGAAATCTCTCCAGGACCAATGCTGATCAGTAAAGAAGGGAATGCTACACTGACTTCTCCTCTAATTGAACCATGATAATTAGTCCATTAACTGCATTATGCTTGTTTATCATAAATATCCTGAATATTGTTATTGTTAGGTGACAACATTCCTGTGCACACACTTACCTTGTCATATTTAGAGATGATGTCAGCACGTTCCTCTGCTATCAAAGTGTCAATGTCTTTCTTCATGTCAAAATCTGGAAGGAAGCAAACTAAATGTTATTATTATTATTATTATTATTATATATTATCAGCCTTGTTTATTTACTATCAGTGAGTGGTTTCTGTGATTAGTGTGGAGAGGGTATTAACATTTGATATGATCATTTCTGGCTGTTAATTGGCAAAATAAACTTGTATTTTATTCTAATACAATTCAACAGTAGCTCAATTTTAGTGTTTGATAAAACAAGAAGGATGGATACTGACAGAGTATTTTCACACTGAACTGATGTAGGGTCAATTTTTACTCTTGATTAAAAACAGCCTATGATCTGACCAGTTGAGAGTGCAGGTCAACTACAGAACAGGTCGAACTAGGAAGGATTTCATTGCGCTTCTCAAGACTCAACGCATGCTCCTGTGTTCTTTCAAGGGGTGGGGACAAACTTGTTTGAGAAATGTTCATTATGTGGACTATAATAACAGGAGGTATCTGCAGGCCACAGGCATCATTTGAGGTGCTGAAACCACAATCATCTTAAACGTGAGACCATACAGCATGCGCTAGCTCAATTTAACCAACCAACTTGAACAATGAAGGATTTCTTCCTAACTTACTATAAACTCAAAACCAGAATGCAGATTATGCTCCAGATTGTGCTCCAGATTGTGAAGACAGAGGCCACAACATCGTCACCAACTTCCTGCTAGAGTACCCAGACGCACAGCTGACAAGATGGTTGGCGCCATAAGACTACAGCACAATTTTACAGATGAGTGTGTGAAGTTATAATTAGTGCTATACTAACCATTACTTGTATATTTTGACAACAATAATAAAACTCATAACATATCGATGCTATGTTCAACTGGTGATTGTAGAATTACCTAAATAAGGGTGATGTTACAAATATCTTTACCTCCAGAACACACACACAAAACACACATATACTGGTAATCAATATGTCTTCATTTTCAATTGATTCAATCTAATTACTCTTCATCCTCTTTCTGTACAGTTATTCTACCCCCAACTTTTCCGACATCACCCATACATAATATGTCACTGTTTGTATTCTGTCAATTGTCACTCTCTCTTTAGCTTCTATTACATTCTGTTTTGTTCTTTCTCATTGTTTAGTCTTTATTCATGTTATTTCACCAATAACCTATATAAGTAAGCAGTGCTTTACAATATACCAAAAGAAAAACTAATGTTTCAAATGATGATTTATTTGTGACTTGCCTTAGACCATGAGTACAGCCAGGCAACTTGAGGTTGCTGTAAACACAAGTCCCATGCTCCTGTATCTCAGCCCTCCCTTCTTCTTCTCTTTATGACCCCTACTTGACCCCCTTTGCCCCTCTGAGCCTGCCTCAATCCTTCCTAGGCTGATGTACTCTGGCAGGCTTGACTGCTGAGCAGTTGTCAGGGCTCAACCATCCCAAGAGAGATAACAGCTTAGGCCCTCGTACACCAGATCAGCATCTTAGAATGATGGCTGGATGTTAAGAATATGCCAGTTATGCCAGGCATGGCACATAAAAGACATAAAAGAAACATACAAAACCAGTCACACCTTTTAAAAGTTCTAAAGGCAATGATGCATTATTTTAGGGGACTTGTTTATTATTAGTGACAAGGTGGAAAATTATGACTCAGGCTTGAATGCTGTCAGAAACTTGAATGGTTTAACACTGTGGATTTAGCTACTACATTAAAGAAATACTGGAACAAGCATATTGGCATCTTGTTGTTTTAGTGAGCAAAACAATTACAAGAAAACCTCTCAGTGAGCCTGTTACAGTAACTTGCAGGCAGTGAAGAATACTCTCACTGATGACTGACAGCATTTTCAGCCAGCTGAGGTCTCTGGCGGTATGCATGTCTTGCATGCCCTGCAGCAGGTGTGTTAGCACCTGCCACCACATACAAAGACCCTTTAAGGTTTCCCCACAGACTCGCATGCCTTCTGCTGAGTAAGACATGTTTAGTCTTAAAGCCATACTGCCAGAACACTGGGCACAACTACAGATAAGGTGGTAGGAAACTGGGCATAATTATGAGCATTTATTTGTTGTTACCTTTTTAATAGGTCCCTAAACAATACAAACCAACCTCTTAAACCTCTGCATCCAGTTCTCTCCATTAAAACAACAGCTGAGTCTCTTGGCTAACAGGTGGTCAGTGAAACCAGAACACTGAACAAATGGCCTCTGTTGCTCTATGCTTTCCTTTTTACATTTTCTCCTGTTCTCGCCTATCTCAGCTCAAGTTATGTGAGGTTATTCGAGGTGTCAGCATATTTTTCTTAACAGCTGAGCTGAGTAGGCAGCCTGTGTTGTGGTGCTATTGACATTGCTGTGACCTTGCCTTCATCATATAACCCGGGGGAAAAAAGACTGCATGTACATTTTACAGAGGCTGAATCTAAATGTACGAGGTCAGTAAGTTTATAGAAGAATCAAGCTTAAAGCTGATGTGGAACTTTCTGTATGTTGTTATCTCAAGGAAAGAAAATGTTTAAAATAATATCTGAAAGACAGACACCTCTTTCTGCTGAATGGACGTGAAAACTAGTGCCAAAAGCTTTTATTTGTCCATCGTATATCACAACTCTTTTGTTAAATCCCCATTTTGAGATTTAATAAGCAGTATGCAAACATTTAATAAAATGTCTAACACTTGAAATGTAATTGTATATAAGGTGAAAAGAGCTTATATACAGCAAGTTTCAGGTTACATAATTTACATATTAAGCAATACTACAGGTCTGTTGGGCAGTGAGAGCAAAGATGTAATTATGTCAATTAATGTACAGCAATATCAGAAAATCTGTTGTAATGGCACTTTAAACGAAATACTTATAATACAATTTGTTGACAAACACTGTGCATTTTTAAAGACTTTATCTTTGTTTAAAAGCTAATTATAGTTACCCAACTATCAACTGTATGGTGTTCATTACTGAAATACTGTATATAGAAGGACATAAAGGTACTGCGAGGAACTGTCAGTTGGCTCAATTTGGCACCACCTCTGAAGCGATAAGATAAAATAACTTACCAGTGTTTTCTGTGTCTGGCTTTAATTCTAAGCAGCAGTGAGCAAAATACAATGACTAACTGAAAGGCTTCAAGGCTCTCAACCTTTGCAGTAAGTATGATGCTATATGAGTAAAATAAGGGTGATTTTATTTCAAGCTGCTTGTGGGGAGCTGTTTTAAATCACTGTCTGTACTCTGTAAGGTAATGTGGTGTGTACGGCCTGTTATGTTTCATCTTTAGGTCCCAGCTGCTTATTTCCTGTGTTGAGTCTCCAGTTTGCTGATAGTATTGTGCTGGCTTCAGGAAGAAAAGGAAACCAGTGACCGCCCCTCCTTCAATAACAGGTTCAATGAGAACTGCTGAAGAGTGTGACAACAGCATGAGTCCTCCTTACAGGGGAAAAGCCCTTCTTCTGACACAACCTTAAATCATCTAGAATTGGCATGTAGTCAGCAAAAGAGACCTTTAGTAATACCACAAGGTGGTCACTTCACAGGAGTGGTATTTTGCTTGTGAATCACCAACAGAACTTAGGGCCTCCTCAAAGGCATTACATGTTGCAGTTAGTCAAAAGAAATGTGCTTTGATCAGCCACTAGTTCAAATGGTGACTGATGGGGGGCTGATTGTGGTGGGATGAGGGTGTCAAACAGATGGAAACTGTAGGAAAATGTGATTTAGTAGCAGACTAAACGGTTCCTCCTTCTCTTAGGTGTAGGTGGAGTAAGGCAGAGGAGGTGACACAGTGTTAGGTGGGCAAAGACGAGTAAACAGTGGGTTAGAAAAGAGGATAGCTGAAGAAACTGAATACAGCATTAAAACCTGGGTGCTAACAGGATACAAGACTTTAAGCCTAGATGACATCACATCCTGAATGACATCTAAATCTAGCATGGAAATATAAGTTCTCAGAGCACTTATGTCACCACAGAAATCTTGCACAGCATTCTGAATCAGATCAACATGCAGAGGTCCGAAATGGCCAACCAAAAGCGCTTAAAGTTTTCATGGATAAATCCACAAATCTTTACACTTTCTTAAAGTAGAATAATGATGACATCATCTTACTGAATTTGAACTTGTATTTGTTCATTAAAAAAATAGGATTATGCAAGAGAAAAGTCACAAGATAAGGAGTCTGGCAGCAGTCTACTTCCTATAGGAGCATGGAAACTGAGAGCACTAAGCTACGCTATACGCAGAGTTTGGGTTAAATAAAGGGCGTGTATTGGTTGTGTGTGTGTGTGTGTATGTACTACAGTCTGTGGGCTTCAGTGGGCAGACATCCCACTTTGCTGAAAACCTGAAGCTGAATCAGAGTGTGGGGGTTTATGCCAACAGAACAGAGGCACTTGTTTGGTTGGAAATTAGATTTTTCATAGTGAATCTTTGTGGCTGGCACTTGAAACTCCAAACTACTGATGGCGTGACAAAGAAGGAGACGACAGATGTGTGGTTCTCTTTACCAACGAATGATTAGTCAGAGCTGCGTGTTCAGCCAAAGGACGGTCTGGCTCTGAGCTCAGACAAGCTCGGGGCCATGGACTCATTCAACCTTGTTAACCACACTAGGCATACACCCAAATATTATCAGTGTGAATTATGAACTAGCCTCTGTCCTGCACAGATTAACTTCTACCTGGTGGTCTCAAATAACCACCCAAACAGTTACGATGGCAAGTGACAAAATACACTTCTTCTTCTTCTTTCAAAATTTAAAACATCCAAAATGGTTAAGTTCAGAGCGTAAAATAATCAATACTGATATTGATAATAACAACCACTAAAACTACTTATTTTTCTGCTTACATTTTGTGTATCTTTTGGTCAAATCAACCGAGATTTCAAATATTTTAAGTAATTATTACAACAATAACTGCATTGTGTTCGCCAAATTCATTCACTGCAATATTCTGCAAAGACTTCTCTTATCATCTCTGTCATCACATTAGCTAAATTATGTACGCTCACAGTGATTGTGGGGAACA